TCTCACAATCTAATGGTTTTTCTTTTCTTTCAAGCAATTGGAATTTTGGGGTGAGTGGTTTTGTTTGATTATATGATTATGTGTGCAGAAATCTTCAATTGGAGTACCTTGACCTGTATCTCATCCACTGGCCCATCAGTGCTAAGCCAGGAAAATTGGTGTACCCACTAGTTGACCTTATGCCAATGGACTTCAAGGGTGTGTGGGCAGCCATGGAAGAATCTCAGAGACTTGGCCTCACCAAATCAATTGGAGTAAGCAATTTCTCCAGCAAAAAGATTGAAACGTTACTCTCTTTTGCTACCATTCCTCCTTCAGTCAATCAAGTAAGTCCATTTTCTTTCAATACATGCTTTGGTTTCTTTTCTTTTTCGAAATGAACAAAATTCATTAATTCGGGAGTCTGTGTGTAAATATATGTGTAAATATAGGTGGAGATGAGTCCATTCTGGCAACAGAAGAAGCTAAGAGACTTCTGCAAGGCCAATGGTATAGTTGTGACTGCCTTCTCTCCTTTGGGTGCCATGGGGACCAGTTGGGGCACCAATCATGTTATGGAAAGCAAAGTGCTCCAGGATATAGGAGAGGCTCGAGGAAAAACAATTGCTCAGGTTCTGTCACATTTTTTCTCTTTTGTTCTTGAGATCTTTCTGTCATATTTTGCCACATTAATTGTTATATAGAAAAATACAAAGTGTCATATTATTTTTCAGTCATAATTAGGAGTAGATAGAGCCCGTTAATTATTTTGAAGTATGTACATTTTGTGCATGGTTTCAATTCAAACAAACAATTTGTGACTCTGTGTGTTGGTACTTCAACTTGGGCAGGTTTGTATTAGATGGGTGTACCAAGCAGGGGCAACTCTTGCTGTTAAGAGCTACAACAAGGAGAGGTTGAAACAGAATCTGCAGGTGTTTGACTGGGAGCTATCAGAGGATGACCTTAACAAGATCAATCACATCCCACAGCTCAAAATGATGATGAGGGAAGAACTGGTTTCTGCTGATGGATCATCATCACCATACAAATCCGTTGAAGAATTTTGGGATGGAGAGATTTAGGCCTGAAATGAAAACCAATCCTTGTGTAATATGTTTGTGTGCATCCAGAAATAAAGGCGCTGTTGAAGGAAAATGTGAGTCTCCCAACATAATTCCACCATCAATGTCTAAGCAATGGGGTTTTATTGGTGGATTTAGCTTTATGCTCATATACTCTAAATGTGAAGGGGAAAATACAATGAAACAGACTAAAGAAATAACATAATTTTGGAGATGTGAAGCCCGAAGGCTACACAGAGCTCCTACACAAATTTACTTGAAACAAACTTCAAAAAGATTGATACTCTTGATACACACTTAATACACACCCTTGACACACGCATTACATACAGTGGATGCGCCGCCTATTTATAGGCCATAATATTAACTCAACATTAAACATAACCATAACCACTATACTCACTAAACCTCACTTTTACTTCAACTCATAAACTAGTCATAATAGCTAAACCTTTAGATTCTAACTTTTTATTTCCTTAACTCCTGACCTTTGAAATTACCCGAACAGGTTTTATTATTTATTTCAGGTTCGGCCCATTCGAGATGAAACATCTCTTAATCACAACCCTTGTTATGAATTACAAGAGAAAACACTTTGATTAACAAAGGGACATAATTTGGGAGAATATGTGTTTGTTTGGTTTTGCAGCTGCACCTAAGTAAAAGCTTAAGTTGCCTAAGTATCCATTAAGAGAATCAAGCCACTCGTAATTCAAGGAATCTTAGTGAGTGATTGGCCCACTAAAACAATGGTTTGTTTATGGAAGTTTGTAGTGTTTGTGTGGGGAAATTTGGGGGGCAATTTTGATTTAGAATAAACCAGTGATTTTGTTTAGAATTGTGTTTGGGGTGAATTTGGTTAAGAGAAACTAGGGACTCGAATTTGGTTGTGTCTAGTGGGATGCTAGACTATCTATGTACCCTTGATGGGATCAAAAACCAACGTAATTCCAAAACTTGGGTGGTTTAATTTGCGTTACTCTTTTATACCACTTGGGTCTTTGATGTGGTTTGGTACCATTTGGGCTTTGGTGTGGTTTTGTACCACTTGAGATTTGATGTGGTTTTATGCCATTTGAGTCTTCATTTGACGATTTGTGAATTTGAGACTTTGCACCAATTGTTTGCCAATTGAATTTTTAATTGACAAGTCCATTATACTTGAGACTTGCAATGAGTCAATTATATTTAAGACCGTTGATTCTTGAGATATGAGACGAATCTATTATACTTGGGAGCTGTAGATCATGGGGTCATGGATTGTGCAGCGGCTTCCAGTCTTCTTGGTCACAATTAATTTTACATTGGGGTATTGATTTGCAAGTGGTGTGGAACAAAACAACTAAGCTTCTTTGGCTTTCACATGATGGTTCCCCACCGCAACACATTTTATCATAAACTTTTTTTTTTTGGTTACAAGGCAGGCCGAAGCCAGAAAATAAAAAAAGCTTAACAAGGCACAGCCCTACTTTGGGCTCTTCCTAGTTCATCATCCAGCAGAAAGCTTGAGAGGGAGATAGGAGCAGATTCGTAGATATGAAGCCCCAAGGGTAACTCATACCCCAAATTAGCAAGGTGATCAGCTACTCTGTTTTGCTTCCTGTAGATATGAGAGACATTGCATCTCCAATTACGTTTAAGTAACAACTTGCAGTCTTCAATCAGACAAAAGAGAGGATGTGAATGGTTACAAGCCTTAGCAATCAGAGAGACAACAGACAAGGAATCACATTCAATATCAAGGGACCTAATGCCCTTGTCCCAAGCCATATGCAAACCTCTAAAGAGACTCCATAGCTCAGCCTCATAAATATTTCCAATCCCAATATTGGCAGAGAACCCATAGATCCATGCTCTATTAGAGTCCCTTAGCAAACCACCAGCACAAATTTAGAATTTGTTTTACAGTTGCCACATCCACATTCAATTTGAAGTTGCCATGGGTTGGAAGACTCCAATGGACTTGGATGACCTCTCTAGTAGGATTAGCATTAACCACATTATTGGCATCAAGCCATTCACTAGAAAATTACAGAATAGTGTGATGGGGGTTGGGAGGAGGCTTATAGCCAAGGTTAAAGATAGAGTTACATCTCCATTTCCAGCAATGCCAAATAGAGGCCGTAAAAACAAGTGTCCAAGGAAGGTTGCTAGAGAACATAATCTTGCTCTTCAGGTTGATTATTAGCCAATCAGTA